CAGTACCATGCTGTTTTGATCACTACGACTTCGTAATATAACTTGAAATCCAGAATTGTGATGTCTCCACCTTTGCTTTTCCTTTTCAGTATTGCTTTGGCTATTTGGGGTCTTTTGTGGTTCCATGCAAAATTTAGAATTGTGTATTCTAGTTCTGTGTAAAATGCTATTGGTATTTTGATAGGAATTGCATTAAATCTGCAGATTGCTTTGGGTTGTATAGACACTTTAGCAGTATTTGTTCTTCCAGTCATGAGCATGGAATATCTTTCCATTTCTTTGTGTCATCTGCAATTTCTTTCACTGGTGTTTTATAGTTTTCAGAATACAGGTCTTTCACCTCTTTGCTTAAGTTTATTCCTAGGCATCTTAATATTTTTGGTGCATTTATAAATGGGATTATTTTCTCTTTCTTCTGCTTCATTATTTATATATAGAAATACAACAGATTTTTGCACATTGGTTTTGTATATTGTGACTTTACTGGATTCATTTATCAGTTCTAATAGTTTTTTGGTAGAGTCTTTCAGGCTTTTCTATATATAGTATCATGACCTCTGCAATAGTGAAAGTTTTGCTTCTTTCTTATTGTTTTCTGGATACCTTTCATTTCTTTGTTGTCAGATTGCTATGGCTAGGACTTCTAGTACTATGTTGAATAAAAATGGTGAAGAGTGGACATCTTTGTCTTGTTCCTGACCTTAAGGGAAAGACTCTCAGTTTTTCCCCGTTGAGGATGATATTTGCTGTGTGTTTTTCATATATGGCCCTTATTATGTTGAAGTATATTGCCCCTAAACCTACTTTATTTGAAGATTTTTATCATGAATTGATGTTGTACTTTGTCAAATTACGGCATACTATTTATGGACTAGTTGTGACATGAACCAAATCATTCGTTTCTTGAGCCTTGATTCCCTCATACTGTAAAATGAGTATAAAAAAATAGAACCAAATTCACATGGTTGTTAGAAGTAACTGTGTATCCATTCTTTGGCAGGTGCCTGGTGACGTGTATGCATGCAATAAACATTGGCTATTTTTTATTATCATGCTTTTCCTTATTTTGGAGGTGACAACCTAAGGAGCATTATCATTCACTGCCAGTCTCAAGTCCTTGAGGCATATGACAACATATCTGATAAAATTGCTGCAAAGGAGTTAAGGCCATTAGACTTGTGAAGAAAACTTAACTTATACCATTTTTTAAAGGCATATTGGAATTTGTTTCAAATAAGGGCGGCTCAGATTAGTATTTTCCTAAGGCATGTTATAAGAACCGGTAGACCTCCAACACACTCACTGGGAGATGGCTGACATTAAGATAACATCTGGGAAATGCTGTGTATTCTTTTCCACTGGTGGGGTTTCATTGTGCATAGTATTAAGTTGAAGTTTCCAGAAAGCCTCTTAGGAGAGAAACCTGCTATAATCAAGTATTTGTTTAATCAGGGATTATTTTTTTTTTTTTTACAAACAGTTTATTGTCAAATTGGTTTCCATATAACACCCAGTGCTCATCCCCACAAGTGCTCTCCTCCATACCCATCTCCCCCCTGCCCCCCACATCCATCAGTCCTCAGTTTTTTCTCAGCATTCAAGAGTCTCTTATGGTTTGCCTCTCTCCCTCTCCCCCACCATTTCCCCCCTTCTTCTCCCCCATGGTCCTCCGTTAAATTCCTCCTAATCCTCCTATACGTGCAAACATATGGTATTTGTCCTTCTCTGCCTGACTTATTTCGCTCAGCATAACACCCTCAAGGTCCATCCATGTTGCTACACATGGGCAGATTTCATTCTTTCTCATTGCCAAGTAGTATTCCATTGTATACATAAACCACATCTTCTTGATCCATTCGTCTGTTGATAGACACTTAGGCTCTTTCCATGTTTTAGCTATTGTGGAGAGTGCTGCTATGAACACTGGGGTACATGTGCTGGGGTACTGAGCACATGTACCCCAGTCAGGAATTTTCTAATCTATTTGCCTATAGGCACTATCCACTCCACCTCCGTTTTTGTAAAACCAAGTAACACATATAAACATTATATTGAGCTGCCTTAGATTCTTCCAAAGGCTTGAATGAGGAGGGGGGTCAAACAGATGGACTGACCCTCTCTGTGCAGAGTTGTAAGAGGTCTGTCCTTGGCTTTGGATCCTAGAAAGCCCTGCAAGTGAGTGGAGTTCTTAACAGGTTTCATTTCCGTGTTGGGGCAGGGAGGGCAGACTAGAGTGCCCGTAGTAATGTGACAGTTAGTCTCCTCCTTAGATTTTCTCCAGACCTTACCGGACTCCTAGGGGACCTCAGAGTCCATCTGTCCTTTGGGTGTCCCAGAGCCATTGGGCCTTGCTTAGGCCGACAGGAATGAGCTCCTGGGGCTGACGCATAGAAACCCAAGGGTACCAGAGGGTGTCCAGTTTCAGAGGAAGACAGAGGATTTGGAGTCAGACCAACGGAGGTCAATGTCTTAGTTCTTCCAGGTGTTCACATGATCCCTGGCCAAATCCCTTACCTTCTCTGAACTACAGTTTCTTCATCTATATAATGGGAACAGTTAAAGTACTTAGCTCAAATGGTTGTGAAACTCATTAGATATATAAAAGCATTTTTTAAAATATGAAGTGTTACATAAAAGCTCATTAATTTAATGTTAATGTTAAGGTTATTTTTTTTTTTCAAATTTTTATTTTATTTCTAGGAGAGAGAGAGAGAGAGAGACAGCATGAGCAGGGGAGGGTCAGAGAGAGAGAGAGGGAGACACAGACTCTGAAATAGGCTCCAGGCTCTGAGCTGGCAGTCAGCACAGAGCCCGACGCGGGGCTCGAACCCATGAACCGCGAGATCATGACCTAAGCGAAAGTCGGACGCTCAACCGACTAAGCCACCCAGGCGCCCCTTAAGGTTATTTTTAACCTGATCTTCATGGCCCATATTTTAGGGGTCCACTAGTCATTCTTTTATTCATTCCTGTCAAATATTTATTGAGTCCTTACAACATACCAGCCACTAGGGTTAGGTGCTGATATAGAATATAGAATAAAGTAGATCTGATCCCTGCCTTCTTAGAACTTACATTCCATAGTGGGAGTCATTTGATAAGCAAAGGCACACACAAATCAGTGTATCATTATAGTCCCCTCTCCCCAGGTACTGATGTGGTATTTTTTTAATGGGGATATTTCTTATCCTCTATTTATAGATGCATTTTGAAGGTAAATCCCTGAACTGCTAACAGAAAATTCAGAAAATGAATTTATCAGTTTAAATAAGGAATACAATATTTTTTTAATTTTTTTTTATTTATTTCTGAGAGAGAGACAGCATGAGCAGGGGAGGTCAGAGAGAGAGGGAGATACAGAATCTGAAACAGGCTCCAGGCTCTGAGCTAGTTGTCAGCACAGAGCCCAATGAGGGGCTCGAACCCACAAACTGTGTGATCATGACCTGAGCCGAAGTCGGACGCTTAACCGACTGAGCCACCCAGGCTCCCTGGGATACAATTTTTAATAGAGAGCTAAAAGAGACATTAGGAATAGTTTATCTCAATCACTTCATTTTACAGATGAGGAAAACTAGAACCTAGAATACTAAAGAAGTTTTCCCAGTTATGTGTATATGTCTGAGTGTTTGTGTGTGTGTGTGTGTGTGTGTGTGTGTATGCGCATGTACGTACGTATGTGTGTGTGAGTGTGTGTGTGTGTGTGTGAGAGAGAGAGAGAGAGGGAGAGGGAACCCAGAGATTTTGAGGCAGGAGTTAGAATCCAGATTTCCCTTCCTCAAATCAGTGTTTTCCATTATGTTGGGGTCCAACGGAAAGGGCCGGCTCATATTTTTACAGTGAGTTATAATTATTACACTTTTATACAGCGGGTTTCAATTACTAGAAATTGGGGGCACAGCACAATTGATTTTCGATTATTAGAAACTGGGGACACAGCACAAACTTTGCTCCATGAAACATTAATATTTTAATAGATGTTAGTAGTTTATCACTTTTTTAAGTTTATTTATTCTGAGGGAGAGTGCATGCAAGCAAGTCAGGGAGGAACAGAGAGAGGGGAAGAGAAAGAATCCCAAGCAGGTTCCATATTTTCAGCACAGAGCCCAACAGGGGGCTCAAACTCATGAGCTATGAGACCCTGACCTGAGCCGAAATCATGAGTCAGATGCTTAACCGACTGAGCCACCCAGGCACCTTAGTAGTTTATCACTTTTTGAGTTGCTTGGTCAAATTAGTTTAAGAAACTTTGCAGCCCTCCCCCCCAACACACACACCCCTGTGCCTTAGGAATCCATAAATGGATACTGTGACTGTAAAAGATAATTCCTGCAATAAGGAAGCCTCTTAACTATGTACAACTCAGCATTTCCCATACTTATTTGACTACAGAATCTATTTTGAATTATTTAACAATTAATGTGATTAATGTGCTGGCTGGGAAGTATAACCTTAGCATCAGTTTTGTTAGCTTCTTGGTAAAGTCTGGGAATGCCTAATAGTGAACTAAATTATATCACACAACTTTAAAAAGGGTAGCTTCTTCAATCTTAGGACCTCAGGCTGACTGTGGATATAGCAGCAACACCTAATAGGATGCATTTTCTTTTCTAATTTTTTAAAAATTTTTAACATTTATTTATTATTGAGAAACAGAGACAGAGCATGAGCAGGGGAGGGGCAGAGAAAAGGGGAGACACAGAGTCCGAAGCAGCTCCAGGTCCTGAGCTGTCAGCACAGAGCCCGCTGCAGGGCTCGAACCCACAAACTGTGAGATCATGACCTGAGCTGAAATCAGATGCTTAACCAACTGAGCCACCCAGGTGCCCCAGGATACATTTTCTTAAGTTGACCATGTTCTTTTAACCAAGGACTAGAATGGGAAATGATGGGAACTTGATAAGAATATGTTCTGATCTATCTTTGGAGGAAAACAGTCCTCTGTAAGTTCTTAAAAATTATTTCAGGCCTTTCAAAAAGTATTATTCTTTTCATTTTAGGCATCCACAAGCCCAGCGTTCTCCAAAAGGGTGTGACATCTTCACAGGACATCCAAATGAGGTAGCTGGATACCTTAATTCTGAAGTGACTATATATCTTTCATACTTGTCCAAGTCAGTGGTTGGGAAGCCTGTCTGTGGCTGCTTGGTCAGGTCATCCAAACATGAAACTGTTAGTGATATTTTGAAGTCTTTGAGACAAAAGCCCAGCTTGCTAAACAACTTTGGTTCAGCAGAGAGACAGGGAGGTACAGTGAAGAGAGAATCAAAAGCCTGGAAATTTGCTGCTGAGAATAAATGCTAGCTGCTCCCTGAGGTGATTTGTCTGTGCACTCCACTCTCTACAGATGTTAGAGCCTCTTTTTGAGTAAGGACCCGAGGTTCTTTGGTAGCACTTTGATATCCTGCTCAAATTCAATATGTGAAATGGAGGCGTCTCTCTGTGACTTGGAGCCCACAGCAGGCTTTGAAGTCTGATCCAATTTTTGCTGCCTACTATTTGATGTTGAAAGGATGAAATGAAGAAAATGTACAGTTTTTGCCAGTAACTCTGCTGAGCATATGTAAGATTAAAAAAACAAAATCCTTTGGATGATGTACTTAGAAATGTTAAGTAGATTAATACCTTCCTATAGGTTTTCTTTTTTCTTTCTTAGGGATAAAAATTAAGGATAGGAGGAAACCAGCACAGAGCTGGTTTTTTATATTCTGGACTATAATTAATTTAAGAGGGGGCTAGGTTGACTTCTTCAGAGGAAGAAATAAATGAATTAACAAAAGGTGCTGAGACTTTGGTACTAATTGCCCCAAGAGGAGGACCTTCACTCAATTCTAATGCAGGAAAGAGGGTGACTCACAACATGACCCCAATATACTTAGCTCCTTCCTCATATCATCAGGGTTAAAGGTCCCTGAGTTAAATGGAAGCTATGTCCTTAAGGCTGTTTCATCAGAAGATAAAAGTAATGTTTCTCTTACTGGGTCTTTCTGAAGCACTCCGTTTCTGGGACTGATTTGCTGTCTTCTCAGACATGCCATGCTGCCCTAGGTCGCCCAGGACTGAGTCCCTCCAAGGGAGCCCCTGCAAAACCTGGTAAGAAGAACATTGCGAATTGCATGCTGCTTCTACCCTTTGCATGCTTGTGTGCTTTTTGATGCGTTATTTCAGTGGGACTGTCTAGAAGGCAGGACTCAAATAGTAATATGACCTAATGTTAGCAAAACAGTTCAGGTTTGCGCATCCGTAAAGGCTGGATTAAAGGTACCCATTTACTGCCTTCTCATGCCACTCAAGTTTACTTCTCTGAGGAAAGAAAATGAATATCAAAGGCTATTATTTCCCTTCATCTGTTAAGAACCTCAAATTAGGAAACTGCTTCACAATTTCATTTTGTCAAAGGAAGGATGAACAACTGACCAGCTTTCAGTGGAGCAGATCATTCTGGGTCAAAATTTAGGGCTTGGCAAAGCATGTGGGTTAAGAGAGTAGTTCTCTCTCTTGGCAACACTGCCATTCTTTCAATAAGAATACATATATCTTGCCACTCTCCTTTGGGAAATAGCTATTTATGACCTCTTTTCTAAATTCTTTGCTTTAGAATATGGTGAAAGTTTGGGGGCTTATGTGTGGCTATAATCAGTACTTCTGGAAGATAAAATAGAAGCATGATGATAAGAAATATTTATGAACCAGAAGATACTAAGAACAGTGTGGACCATTCCAAAGAAAGAAATCTTTTCAACTTAAAATACTGACATTACACTTAATGTCAACCTCCTTTATTTTTCTGAAGTGTGCAGTAGATTCCCAGGTCTCTCCAAGTTTCTTCTTAGTCTGTTTTTCAATGATAAAGCGGTACAGTATGAAGTGGGAAATGTACAATAAATGTGTGGACCTTCAGTCCATATGGAACTTAAGCTCTTGGAAAGAGACAAGAGAAGTCGAGTGTACAATAGCAGAAACTTTTAAATGGATATGAAGAAAATGATAAATCTGTCGAAGAGAATATTTTCCCCACAGTATTCAGGGTTCCCACACAGCCAGATAGCATTCAGGAATAAGGCCACAACGAGGTAGAGGTAGGAGTAGTGTAAAAAAAAAAGGAAAACTTAGGGAAAAGACAGTGTGGTGGAGCAGAATCCATTTTGCAGGAATTTGCTTGGCATTTTTCTCTATCCAAACAATCTCTACCTTTTAATTGGGTTGTTTAGACCATTTACATTTAACATGATTTTTATATATTTTGGTTTGAGTCTTTCATTTTGCTATTTGTTTTCTATTTGTCCTATCTGGTATTTGTTATCTTTTGGCATTCTACTTTAAAATACACATAAAAAGAAAAATTTTAAGTATGGTTGAGTAGCCAAAGGCACAGATTCTGGAGTGAGAGAGACCTGCCTGGATTCAAATCTCTGTTCTCCTGTGTAGTAGTAATCAAGTTATGAAACAACTCATCATCTCAGTAGTTATACATATAAAATGAGGAAAATAGTAATTCACAGCTGAGGGGTTGTACTGAAGATTAAATGAGCTAATAATATAAGTAAAGAATATAGCTGGTATCTGGTTCATGGTAAGAGTACATTGTTTCTGCTGCTGCTGTGGTAATTATTGCTATTGATACTATATAAATGCAAACTAATCTATAAATATGATAAACAGGTAGAGAAATAAAATTCTTATTGTAAGGTCCTAAATTTTGGTGGGAGTTTAGAGGGAGTAAGAATATGTTATCTTTGGAATTAACTATTAAAGAGACTTGTTGGATTACAGTCCTCTTTCCCAGTCTTTAGGAAAATATCCTCAAAGTCAAACTTATTAATAAGCTACACATCTGACTTGCTATAAATGGCACATATGCACTTTCCTCTTACAATTGTGTTTTCCTTCCAATCTATTTGGTTTTCTCATGGGTCTGCCTCTATCACCATTACTTCTCCTTACACTCTTGTAAATAGCATCCTAAGTAGTCTTCCTGCTTCCATTCTTTTCCTCCTTGAACTTCTCTTATGCACAGATCCTTGAGGAGCTTTCTAAAGCATACCCTGATCTTAACATTCCCTTCCTCCGTATCCTCTATGGCTCCTCATTGCTTCAGCATCAACTCTAAACTTCTTGGTGTGATATTCAAGGCTGTTTCTGTTATGGGCTTAATCTTCCTTCCTAGCTCGGTCTTCCACTGATTTCTCTTCCTCATTCTGTGCTTCAGAATATCCAGACTGTTCTCCGAGCTTGCCTAGTATATCCTTTCTCACCTCTGTGACTTTGCTCACACTGCTCCTTCTGCACCCCCATCCTGCCTCCCTGTTCACATTCAGTCTACTAAATTTACATTCATTTACTCAATTCTTGAGTCCCCAGTGGTTCCCTCTTCTGTGCCCTTTCACTTTTCTTATAGTGCTTATCACATCCTGCCTTACCTCATAATTATTTTCATTCATCTACTAGATTTTAATCTCACTGGGATTGTATCTTTTCATTTCTGTATTCTCTTCTCACAGCCTCACCTACATCCTCTGACTGAATTCTTGAGCATCCAAAGCCGTGATGAAATATAATGGAAGCAAGAAAGTAATGAAGCTCTTGAATGAGTCAGAGAAAAGTTTTAAAATGTGTTTTTAATAATCCTGGAACAAAGCAAATGTCTCTTAGTCACCCCAAAATAGGTATAGCATACGGGTGGAACAAGTTAAAATGATCCAAGCTGTTTGACTTTGTTGCTGTTGTTTTGGGTAGGGAGAGAGGGAAAGGTTTAGGCAGGAAAATGCATTATGTAAATCAAATTCCCCTTGACCTTAGAAGGCAACAAAGAGATTGAAGAACAAAAGCTTTCCAATTTTATGTTTTCCAGGTATTCAGCAAGGGTATATTCTGTAAGAGACATTTTAGCAAGTTATTCCTTTGTGCTTAATTTTTTGCCTTGAGTTACACACTATTTCAACCTGAGTTTCTATGAAAGACTGAATGAGAATATTGTGGTCTTTTCAGTATAAAAAAAACCCACTAACAACCAACAAGTTTGCCTTCTAATTTGCAATAGGTGCTGATAACTTCACTGTTCTGTGAACTGTGAGAGGTGGAGGGAGGCAGGGAATAATCTAAAGTTACTCAGGCCAGCTCTGCTCAGGGCAGACATGCAAAGAAGTATACATATGTGGGGCTTGTACAAAGGCTGTCTTCTACCCCTTAGATGGTCTCAGAAGTGTCCTTAATTGGTCGTTTGAGCCTGACTCATTCTAAACATAGGAGAGGAAAGCACAATGTACCCAGGAAGTGCATAATACGAATCACTTTGCCACTAATCCAAGCAGCGAAATTACTTAATTAGACTGATAGGTATATATACAGACCTGATCTCATTTTACTGTTTAAAAATGTGTTATTTAGACATTTGTCCTTTTATTTATTCATTCATTTACTCAATAATTATTAACACTTACTGAGTACCAGGAACTGTCCTGTACCAGGACTTCTCACACCATTTTAAAAGACCAGTTTGGGGTTCATTGTTTTAATTTCTAATTTTCCGGTCAGATACTTCCATGAATACAGTAGAAATGAATTATAGTTGACCCTTCAACAATGCAGGGGTTAGGGGTGCTGAGCTCTGCACAGTCAAAACCCATGTCTAACTTTTGACTCATCAAGAATTTACTCATAGCCTACTGTTGACCTGAAGCCTCACTGATAACATAAGCAGTTGGTTAACACACATGACGTATATGTTATATACTGTATTCTTATAGCAATACCTAACTTTCTCTTAAATTTTTCAGTACTTCTAAACTGTGAAGTTCATCTGAGAGTTTTTTCAAATTGTTGCAAGTCTCAAAAAAAATTTTCCAATATATTTATTGGGAAAAAAACATGTATAAGTGGACCTACACAGTTCAAACCCATGTTTTTCAAAGGCATGCTCCTAGACAAACAGTCACGTATTTGGATGCTGTGTAAATATCAAATTGATCTAAACTTTTCTAAATTTCTCACTCTAATTTCTTTCCTAATCTTGTTGGGACAGGTAGCAGGGAGTCAACCCACAGACCCCATACATCACAAGTGCTGTTCCAGGCATGTATTTATCAGGGAACAGCAGTAAAAAAAATCGTGTCCTCACAGTGCTATGTTTCCGCAGAGGGAGGTAACAATAAACAATAAGCATAATACAAAAGTCAGTAGTATGGGATGTTAGAAGGGCCAAGTGTTAATAGCGCAAGGGAGATTAGGAGATTAGGCCAAAGTGTGTGAGCCGGGCTTGGGGAATGGTTGCACTTTTAACTAGGGTGGTTTGGGTGGGCTTTATTGAGAAGGTTTGAAAGTGGTGGGCTAATTAGCCATGTGGTATTTGGGAGAAGAGCATTCCAGACAAAGGGAGTACCTATGGTAAAGGCCCTGAGGAGAGAGTATGCATGGAATAGGTGAGGAGTTGAAAGAAGCCCTTGTGGTGGGAGCTGGGAGAGCAAGGAGAATGGTAGGAGGGGAGGAGCCAGATGATGTGAGTCGGTACTACTTCTTTTGGTTTTTTTTTTTATTTTAACTTTTATTAAGTAATTTCTATCCCCATTATAGGGCTCAAACTCATAACCTCAAGATCGAGTCCCATGCTCTATCAGCTGAGCCAGCCAGATGTCCCCATATTTCTTTTTGAAAGTCAGAAAGTCATTGCACTTGCTGAGAGTAACTAACTAAATTGAGCCTTAAAGATGGAGCATAGCACATTGGTAGGGAGCAGAGGAGCAAGAGGGGTTGCATCAGCCTCCCGCAGGGAACACAGTGGGCCATGCACCATGCTGGGGTGTGGTAGAGCCCTCAGAGAGCACCTGAGTCAGGTTTAGTGATGTGATTTCTCATCTTTCATGGCCTGCCCACCCCCCACCTCCATCCAGTCTAATGCCATCTCCTTCATTATTTTTCTTTATCTTTCTTGTTGCTCATTACCAACTCTTGTTAATTTTGGCATTAGTTCAGCTATCAGAAGGCAAATTTGGGCTCTATTCTATCCTTGGAACTCTTTTTTTTTTTTTTTAAGTTTATTTATTTATTTTGAGAGGGAGAGAGAGTGTGTGTGTGAGTGGGACACAGGCAGAGAAAGA